GGTTGGCCTTCCTGACTGCATCCCCACACTGCCGGCCCATGTTCATCTTGGAGTCAATGATGACTCCAAGATCCTTTTCTGCCTCTGTACTGACAAGAAGGGAGTTCCCCAGCCTGTAGGTGTGGTGCAGGTTGTTCCTCCCCAGGTGCATCACTTTGCACTTGTCAGTGTTGAATCCCATCCTATTCTCATCCGCCCATCCCTGTATCCTGTCTAGGTCAGATTGCAGCCTATTCCTCCCTTCTAGCATGCCCACATCCCCGCACATCTTAGTGTCATCAGCAAATTTGAACAGGGTGCTTTTTACCCCCATGTCCAAGTCGCCGATGACTTAAATTAGTGTTACAACTGCACTAAAAATAATGTTAGTTTTCAATAGTAAACTCTATAGAATCAAAGAAAGAATAGGGCAACCAGTAAGAGGCAGCATTCCACTGACTGCAAAAAGTGTGGCTTTTTTAAAACGTGGTTTCATAGACTGCTGAAAGAAAAAAAATTACAGCAGAGCTTCCTCAGTTCAGGCTAAATATCACCAGCTATTTTCTAAATTACAGGATTCATTGCCCATGGCAATGGATAAGCTAAGTCAAGGAATGAAATGCACTTAAAAAGGATTAATGCAGCTACAATGTCAAAGTTTAAATCAGGGAAGAAATATTTGTGGTAGGTAGAAGCATTAACATATTGAAAATTTGTATGAAACTGAAAATTAACAGGATAACCCCAGACCTTTCTATTTAATTCTATTGTTTGATTGAACTCTCTTGAATTTTGGCTGAAAGGTTACCAGCATTCACTCATGTGGTTAGTTTTTGCTAGCAACAGACCTCTCTCAAGTTCCTCATCATATAAACATATTAGACTAGGAGTTGGCAACCTATGGCTGCAGGGCTGCTGGATTTGGCCTGCGAAGCATTTGGCAGCAGGGGGGCTTTGCTCACACAAAGTTGTGTTGTGGCCATGCAGCCAAAGGGTTGATAACTTTGCCCATGCCACACCACAGTCAAGCAGCAGGGAGAAGCAGCGGTGGTAGCAGCTGGGTCTTAGCACCAGCCTGCTATGGACCAGAGCTGGGTCATTCCAGTCTGTGACTGGAAAGTGTGGCTGACCACTATATTAGACTGAAAAAAGGCATGTCAGTTCATTTACAGAAAGTTTGTAATGGAAAAAAAACATCACAAAGACCACATTTGGTCTTGGCAAGGGATTGTGAGAAGATCATGGGATGCTAAGAAAACATTGATCAATGTCCGAAAGTATGAAAACAATTTAGGTACGTCCATGCCCTTTGAGTATGTCACATCCTCTGTTGGTTTTGTATTTTGCTTGGTCTGTCATCTGCTTATCTTGTTTTCTGTTCCTCGATAATATTAAGACTAAGGCCCTAAGCAGGCTAATGCCCGAGTAAAATCAAAACATACTTACAATTATAGCACAACAGTAAACCAGCTTCTCCATCTTCATATACATCAATAACTGCAACAAAATTAACCTGCAATGATAATGGGTAAGAGTAGTGGGCAGACTGGAAACTGGTCACTACAAATTGATTTTGAAAAAAAATGCAACACTGTGTCAAAGATTGCACACCTGAGGGTAGTAAAATTTGACCTTTTTAAATGCAGCCTTGAAAAACTAAGACTTGACTTTGCGTTCATTGTAAATGCACTCAAAGCAAGGAATTCAATTTGTTTTCCACTCAGTCTTTCCTATGCCTTCATCATCATTCAGTACAGGAAAGATTTCAGCAGAACTGGCTTGAGTCACCCTGCAGGACTAAAAATATTACTCTAACAAAGAAACTTGTCTAAATGAAAAGTTAAACAAGAAAAAAAACATTGCACATCAGGACAGGTGGGGTGGAAACATCATAATCAGAACCTCTGTCACAAAGACAAGGCATATCAATAAGGAAGTTCTTTCAGATTTAATGAATAAATGATGATAAAACATTACTGGAAAGACTTGATGGACTTGGAAAATAGTCTAGAATTTAGAGGTGGAGAATTCCTGGAAGGAAGACAATATGGACACTGGAAAGAGTGGTTTTGTTGGGTTTTTTCCCCCCCAGTATGGATGGCACCAGGGCAGCTAACTTCTGAGAAGCCAGGGGCTGTACCTGCCCAGCTGTCATGTCTAGGTGGGAGCCCACAGACTACAATTCAACCCTTTGTGGGCAGGGAGTCAGACAGGCCTGGGTTGCACAATCCTCAGACTGGGACCATCTAGCCACCCTTTTCAACTAAACTATGAAATCCAAACACCTATAAAGAAGCTTCCCATAAATCTACCATATGTGATAATGTGCAATACAGTAACCAGGCAGAATGAAAATCTACAAGCAGCATAATCAGAATTATAAATCAGGCATAATGGATACTGGACTGAAGTCTGGGGATGGGCCCAAAATAAATCCCTTGATGGACTAAAAATAGTTTACATTGATGCTTTCCAATTCGCACTACACCATGGTACCGGATTAATACAAGAAACTGGCAATACAATAAAAGAAAAATACTATAAATAATTTTAAAAAAAATCAATACAATGAGGACTCTCTCTTCAACATTCCTTTAGCCAGAAAATCTCAGACCATCCTGGATGCTTACATTGTGTTAATGAGACTGCATGTCTTAGGAAATGGGTAACAGGATAGAGAAGCTTACATATCAATGCCATCACTAACAACTGACAGGTGTTACCAAACAGCGGCCGTTTTATAATTTATGTGAAATGATTTAATGAGTGTCAGTCCAATTCCTCAAAGTCAGAACAACAGTAACTGGGACTAATTGGCAGACTAGTTGGTATCCCTAGCATAAAAGACAATAATTAAATAGACCACGATGCATGAAGTGCGTTTCTCACTTTCTAGAGCAAGGTTGTCAAAGTCATCGGGCCCCACAAGCCAAACAAGTAAGCATGGAGCTAGTCTATGGGCTGCATTAGGCCCACAAACCTCATCCCCTGCCCACATGTGTGGGACCTGGCCCCACCGAGTGCCACCAGCACACATCCAGGTACTGAGCATGGGGAGGGTCTGCACAGCATAAGGGGCAGCTACAGGGGCCAGATCACAAGGCTCCGCAGGCTAATTCTGGCTCACAGGCCATAGGATTGACACCCTTGTTCTAGCAGTAATATGTCCAAAATAAGTATTCGGTAAATCAGCAGGGTTGCATGAGGAAAGTTCACATCGCCATCTGCTATGCTGTACCTGCTCCACACATTACCATCCAGGGCTGTCCGTCCTGGCCCCTCTTCTTTTGCACCAATACTCTAGCACAAAACATGTAAAAGATAAGCCACCAACAGAACAGAATTCAACCATCTGCATTTTGAGCAAGACTGTCAGTTCAAAAAATGGGTCAAATCTGAGTGTCTAAAGTTAGGCACAAATAAGAATGTCCTGATTTTCAGAGAGCCTGCACTTCCTGGGGGTCTATACCAGTCAGAAGCTGTCAGTATAGAACAACTGAGAAAACTCAAGCCATTTATTTAAATGTTTGCCTTCACACCTAATTTAGAAAACTTTGGCCACTGTAATTACAATACGGATGCTGCTTATTTCTCTGTTCCGTTACTGTACTGGACAGCAACTTGTAAGATCAGACTAAAAGCCACATAAAAATGTTAGTTCAAAAGCAGTGGCTAACAAAAAGTTGAGTCTCCTACTATAATATGAATCTCAAAACACTTTCGAAACATGCACTAAAAGGTAGACAAGCCTTACGGCCAGAAAGAAGAGAAGGAAGTTTGTGCCTACACTGTACACACAAGGCAAATGCTAGGTGATATTCCAGACTCCATGGGCATGGACACACATATGCTTAGAGACATTACAAAATGGGAACTTTCAAAAGGCATCAGCTAGTATACATTATCTGTTTATGTGGGAATGAGCTGAGAATGATTCCAATGTAGCAAAACCCTCCAACTTCATCCATGGATGAAGGCATGTTAAAGCTGGAGGGCTTAGCTACATCTGAATGATTCTCAGCTCACTGACACGCAACAATCAGACGGTACCACCTGCTCTCCTTGTGGTTCCCTTTTTGAAAAGTCTCCAAGTATTTGTATAATCACATTCAAGAGACAAGCATTTGTATAATCACATCCACTTGTCTCTCTACTGAGTAGTGTTCCTTTTAGGTATCCTAATGATTACCTCTCTTGGGGACAGTTACTCTATTTACCTAAATCCAAGATGACTCTGCATTTATAATGACCCTCCAATAATTAGTTTATATACATGGAAAATTATAACACACTTATGAACCTTCCAGGTATAGAATCTAAATAAATCCCCCACCACCACCCCCACAGTGGAGGAGGAGAAAGTGGTAGGGAAGTCAAGTAGTCTGATGCTGGCCTCTTGGCTCCCCTACACCTTGCCCCCTGCTGCCTGTCCCACCCACTACTTGCTCCCCCACTGCCTGCCCCTCCCCTCCCCTCCCCCGCCCC